TGATTGTAATATTAGGTAGCCGCTGGTTGAACATTTGATGGGACATATGTATATTATTACAATTCGATATATTTTATTTTAAGTTCCGGTATTACGATACATCCATTGAGGGAACTCATTTTCTTAATTGTTATGTACTTCCATAGCGAAACCCCCAAAAGGGTCAAGTTTATTAAAAACCCCTGCATTAATCCATAAGCAATTTTCTGCTTTGTTTTAGGAAAATGAATTTACAAAACAATAAATAATATCTGCTCGGTCCCACTTGAAAACCTATACAAATACCAGTAGCAAATCCTTTGCGATATAAAGCAGTCTGGTTAATAATACATCAAAGTCAGATCGATGATGTATTTCCATATTTATCTTCGTTAACCGCACAAAAATAAATGCTAAGTATGTCTACCTACATTATAAAGCGGAAACTTGTTTGCGTTGTCTTGTCTTCCGTTTTATCCGTTTAATCCCCCATCTTCGAGTTTTCCAAATACGCTTCGGAAAAGCCATTCAATGTAAAAAAAATGTGAAACTTCAGTAATATATTTGAATGATGCCAAGTCGTTGCCTACTAAGTTATGATCCAATTTAATTAAAACGTAAAACAGTACACAAACATTTTCGACAATTTAGATATTCCACATGCTCGGTTAGGAATAAGACCCCTAGTGCCGAAAATTTCGCAAACTATAGACATAAATTTAACAAACCTACCTGGAAATTTTCCTTTATAAACGTTGGGGTCACGAATTACCATTTGTGCGAAGTAAGAGCGAGAGATAAGCTCAGAATAAATTAGTACTTGAGACAAACTACTAAATCCCAATGTCGGAATACTATGTATATGTTATACCGTAGTCAACTGCACTGATAATACTAACTTTTCTTGTAATTATAGGTTCAGAAGGGGCTACATAGGGCCTTTTGCTTTTGAGGACATTTCAAAGGCTATCGTGCTTGCGTAAGTCATATTTACATGGTATTAATAAAAGTGATTTTTTGGGTAATTCCTAATTACTAACGCGGATCTTATCTTGACATATTCAAGATGCGGTTTGCTATATAAAATTAATTGTTAAAATGCGATAAGAAACTGATTTGAAACGCTCATTAACGATTTTAAATACCTCATAAATTTTAAAATGATTTACAAGTGAATTATTTCAGTTCTCAGCACAAATGAATAAATACTAAAAAACAAATAATACCAAATCCATTGGTTACCGAACAGAATTTCAGCAAAACGAAGTTATAAAAATAAAATTTTCTCTCTGGCCTAAATACTAATTGCAAACTGAACATTCGAAACAGGTAAACAACGGTTTTTCCAGGTCCGTATCTGCAAAACTAAGGAAGATAATTTTATCCGATATAGGGAGATAAACCAGACCCTGCATGTATATTTTCAACTAACCAAACATTTATTAAAAATTTAATTGAAACAGCTTTGGTTAATCAATGAAAAAGAATTGAAATAAAAGCAAAACAAATTTTTGCAAGAAATGTCGTGCCCTTTTAAAGTTTAAAGTTAAACAAAAATAACCATTAATATGTCCAAAAGATATGACGCAAGTTATAGAGTTATGGTAAAATTTCTATTTAAATAATAAGCCTCCAAAATCCAGCTCTATAGAAATCGACTATCCGAGATGAACAGTAAACAAGTACTCAGTGGATGAACACTCCAATTTCGGAGTCGATTTCTGAGTTAAGTCAACTGAGTTAACTGAGTTAGGTGGAATGAGTTTGGTATTACTTTTAAATAGGTAAGAATCTGCAAACTAAGATGATGTGTTTTTTTAGGTGGCTTAATTATCAAAATACTCTGCGTTACTGTGAATAACATTGTTATGCATCGTTTTAAACCAGTATTAAAAATTTTTCAGCAGTCAAGCCGCATATAAATTTTCATTTATGTATAAGGTAAAACTTTACGGCCTGTACGCTGAATAAATCCAGGAAATATCGGGGCATGAATTAAAAACAATTCGTGTGGGCCATTGAAATACTATTTTTAATTGTTTACATTAATATAATTTTTGGATAGAATATGGCAGAGATATTAATGCACATTATAGAAGCATGTCCTTTAATATTCATAGGATATCTCTTTTATGCGTGAAACCTAGCGGATTTTGTTCAATGTTTAATTTAAACTAATACCCGACATCAAAAGTAACTGCCACAGAGAGTAATTACGCTGAAAAATACGTTACAAGTAAATTTACTGCCTTATATCCTTTTGTAACAGTTTCGAAACAAAACTCTATTAAAACGCAAAAATATTTAATGGTTAAAATCCTCGTAACGTTGTCTGCACACACGTTGTAATAACTTGGTCTCACAATTTAATTATAAAGCAGCTTTGAGCTAAAGTAATAATGTATTATGTTCGTCGGTAATAGTGGATGGGAATTTGCGCTTATTAAAACCTAGTCGGCAAATTAGAATGTTCGTATGTTGTGCACGAGAATGGTCGATGATTGTAACGTTATGGTCACGCAGCTATTTGAAATAAATCTATTGGCATTGGATATCTCTTTAAATCTCGATCCATTAGTAGTGCCGTTAGGAAATTAAACTTCAGGGGATTATAGATAAAAAAAAATACACTAATTAGTAGTGGTGATGTCCGATGCTAAATTGAAAAGTAGCAGGTAGATTGAATAGGCTCCGTAATAAACTCTGCAACCTATCTAGGATTTTGAGATGACATTATCAGCTTTCCTATATGAGACAGACTCCTATATGAACATGGGACCTTATCGATGCTTAAAGTTCCCTTGATGCACCACGTAATAGAGGAGAGAGAGTCAGAATACCGACAAATATCGTGACTAAGTAATCTACAGATCTGATCAGAGCAGCTGTGAATAAATTAAGATGGTCCGATGTGATTTCTAATAACCGCAGAGGATCGTTAAAGGAGAAGAATAAAATTGTTTATTATTTTAAATGAATTGATTGGTTTTTTTGTTTGTTAGGAGGTGACGAGAAATGATGGAAAATTAGACAGTTAAATTTAAATTGCAGTGTTGTTTGTACGACGATATACGAGGTGTGTTCGTTATTTTTTTTATTATGTTGGTACACATGTCCCTAACATATGTTCACAGTTTCAGCCAGTCTGCACATTTACTTTTTTTTTTTAAGACCGAAGCGTTTTTATGCTCGGCGATTTTCCGCTATCAAAAAAAAAATGGAACAAAGAATTTGCATAAATTTTGTGTAAAAAATGTTGACAATGGCATATGATGAATCTACTTCGAACAAAAAAAAATTATAATCTGCTCCAAGATGGTCGAGAAGACGCTGATGACGAACCTCGGTTTGGACGCCCCAACACGTCAATAACTGATGAAAGCGTTGAAGAAGTTGAATGATATTGAAAATGGTCGAATCCATTAGAGAAGTGGCTGAAGACGTCGGCATCTCTATTGGCTCGTGCCATGCAATTTTTTCCGAAGTTTTGGGTATGAAATATGTAGCAGCAAAATTTGTTACGAAACTGCTTCATTTTGAACAAAATGACTGTGGAATGAGAATCATGCAAGAGGTGTTGCACCTCAAGTTCGATCAAATGTCAAGGTTTTGTTTACTGTTTAGTACATCAAGAGTTCTTGCCACAAGGTTGTATGGATAATAAAGAGTATTACCTTGAAGTTATACGCCGTTTGCAAGAAGCAATAGGAAGGAAATGTCCGGAATTGTGGGAAGACAATTCATGGATTTTGTATCACTATAATGCACCTGCTCACTCATCGATGCTTGTCTCTAACTTTTTGAGTAAAAACAAAACCACAATCATGCCTCAGCCACCATATTCACCGAATATAGCCCCTTGCGACTTTTTCCTGTTGCGAAAACTCAAGAAACTCATGAAAGGAAGGAGGTTTGGAACGATTGCGGAGAAAAATCGCTGGAAGAACTCAAGCCTAAGCCAAAAACTGCTTACCAGAAGTGCTTAGAGGATTGGAAGAAACGTTTGCATAAGTGAATTATATCTGGAGGGGGGGACATCATTAATTTTGATAAATAAATAAATGCTTTTTGATAAAACTTGAAAGACACCTTACTTTTTGAACACACCTCGTATAAACAGCACCATCGAAAATTTGCCGTGTCCAAATTCTGGACAATCTAATTTTTAGCTCGCACAATTGTTCTACGGCCTTTGTCCGCAGAATATTTAGGTGACCTTTCTCTTTTCCGATTGCCTCAGTATCCAAGATAAGCAACCTTATGTCATTGCAAGTTCGCATTTTGATTATTGATATGTTGTCGATACACTATAATGATGTTGGTCTTGATCATATTTAATTACAGACCAATAGACTGACTTTCATTTTCAGTCAGTCGGAGATCAATCAGACTGTTTATGTTTTGGTCGTTGATTGAAATGCCTTTTCCTATATCCCAACCATTGTTCTCAAAACGAAATTATTTGGAAGTTCCACATACTTTTACTGACGCTGTGGTTTAATTTCACCACTGACACCGCCAGCAATCCAGCCGGTTTTTCTGGTGGTCCTCTTTTTAAGAAAATTTTTATTCCCTCATTGTGTCCCTCTGAAATAGGAGAAATAGTCGTCTAGTTACCGCATTTATAAAAAGCTAACTTTTTTATGTACACTCGAGGCGGACCCCTGTTTTGTGCGAAATAGTAAAATTACGAATTTGCAATAGGCAAAAATTTCAAAACTTCTGCTTCAACGAGCCGTCCTGCGCTTGATACCTTTTAATACTTGGCTTTTCTAATGCAAAAAGGAGATCTTTAAACATACGATTTGATTCTCACCACCCACGTTAAATACACGTTCTTCGCCGAAACGTAAATCCTTTTAAAAAGAGCGAACATTAAATTCATCGCCGTGCATTAAATTGAAATAAAAAACAGTACGTACATCTAATTGCTATTGTTATTTAGTTACGGCCGATAAGGAGCTTATCTTCATTTTTATCTAATTGCGAATACCTGCGATGAAAAACAATCCAGTTTCGAACTCAAGTGTAAAGCGGGAGGTGTTGAAAGTTTTCCGGGTGGGTGCGATGTGTACGTGACTTTTTAGCGTTTCTTCGTATCAGAATATTTTTGGACGAGGAAAACTTGCAGGTGAAATATTGTTGCGAAATTTTGTTTATAGCTCGAAAAAACAACTGTCGGAATTTTTCCGTAAAATATTAAAACGTTTCCTCACGTGATGCAGATCTACGGACAGTCAAAAGTTTACCATTTCATCTCACTCACGCGAAAATGTTTATTGCGTTTTCCTACAACAATCCAATTCCTTTTTCACTATAAATTAATAGATTTAGGTAAAGAAGGTTGATAAACGCGACTTCAATCACGAGTTTGTTTTGACATGACTAAGCCAGAATAGAATAAACGAGTGACTGGAAACTACACTACATTGCAGAATACCCTCGGAGACTAGAAATAAACTATATTATGAAAAACACATGCTAAGGAATTTTGAAAAGGTCTCTATTTTCGTACTTAACTCACGTAATTTATTATACCGAGAATAGTATAGTACTTGTTTGTAATTTAAGATTTTCAGTAGTATCCTTTAAAATCTATATGTCGTCTCTGTTATAAAAATAATCTTGGCAATTTTTCTACAATAAAGCGATCGCCTTACAGTTGAAAACACAATGTTTGACATTAGCGATTTGTATTAAAAGGTTAAATATTACTTGGATGACTTTGCTTCTATTTGTTATTAATTGTCAAGTCCGTAAGATTAAAGACGCAGAAGACCCAATCGACAAGCTCAAGCAGTGGGAAGAAAAAAACAGATTAGTATTTTAAACAAAATAAAATTCAAGGGAGAATTTCTTCTGAGATTCAACTATTAAAATTTTTTCTGGAAAATATTTTATTACGTTAAAAAGTTGATATGCTTTTGGAATACGGGGATACAGTCAAAAACTTGTATGTATACGTATATCATAAGCTACAAGCATTTTTTCCGGAAATTCAAAAGTACAAGAGAATAGAAATATGTTTTTTTCTTTTTAAATCTGTCACTTTTCGGGATACTTAAACACAATATTTTGTTAGAAAATAAAATCTCAACAATGTCCATAGGATCGACTTGAAAGTGGTATATCAACGCGTGTTACTGGAAGACAAGTTTTACATTGACACAAAACATCACATTCAGTTATTTTGGAACTGGAGTTTTGTATTTATTTGAATTAAATAAGTGAGATGATATTTACTTAATAACCAATTCATTTTAAGAGGAAGCTTTCACAGAATCTTTTCAAAATGTGCTCCTTGTATACGACACTCCCTGGCTCTAGAAATTACATTAGCTGTAAGCTGGGTTATCCTAAAAAATTAATAATTCATTACATTAAATGCTATTTGCCATTAGACAAGTAAAGAAAAGTTTCATTTACAATTTTTCCCTAGATCAGGTGATCCGCTAATTGTATATTATGCAACAAGTGCGGTAAACGGCATTTGACTCACGAGTTTATTTCACACGAGCGGAGCGAGTGTTTAATAAACGAGTGAGTTAAAAAGTTTACCGAACGTGTTGCATAATATACTTTTTCTACGACCGTTAGTTTTCGGGTACATTTTCGCAAAACAAAACGAATACATTCACTGACCCGATTGCTCCCAAATCCGTGCGGTAAAATCCCGGAAATGTCCGAAGTGGCTCGGATTCATGGGAAAGGAAACTGACATGATAAAGTGACGCTTCCTGCACGCTAGTTCGGTGGGCAATTAGGTATTTTACAGACGGGAGTAGAAAAATAGTATTTATTACGGTCACAGCCTTCTAAACACAATTTTCAAAAATTAAACAAAAATGTTTTTTTAACTCATCAAATAATTTTCGAGGTCCTTTTTTGATAATTACTATTTCGGGAGGTTGATTGGCATTTTGTTCTTTTAACATCACAATCAACCATAAGAAACTCTATACAGAGTGTGCCAAACTCTATGGCAAAATAAGAAGTAGTAAATTAATTAAATTTCTTGCGTTAAAAATAGTAATGGTAGAATCAATACTTTTTACTTCATTTTGAATGAAAAATTCAATGCTCGAAACTTAATGTTATTTTTATTCTCTTTATTCTCTATTCTGCTCTGGTAGATACATTATAATTTTCCTTATAATGGTTACCATGGTCATTTTGGTTAGCAGAGCGGCAAAGTTGGGTAAGTCGGTTCTCGAAAAAATGCATTTTGTCGGTCTTTTGGACGAGGAAATTTCTAGTTTCGAGCTTGTAGAAATGCATTATCGTTTCCTTACATTTCTAAAAAATTTTATGTGAATTTATTAAAATCATTACCTATAAGTTTCCCAAATAATATCTGACACTGAAATTGAATTGATAAATACAGAAACTAAATATGCGAACTTGTGCTCACTTTAGAGCAATATCTCAAGGACATTTTATTCCCAAGTTCATCCTAAGTCAATACATTTATCTTACAATTTTTCGTTCTATTTGCGCCAAAAAAAAGTGGAGAACGCGGATATCTCCTTTTTTTTTGTTTTCCCCAATTTCATAGGTTTTTTAAAACCTAGTACTTCGTAATAGCAATACGTATTTGCACTGCAATCGAATCAACTTTTCGAGAAATTTGGAGCAAACTAATATGAACCAAATATCAAAAATATTGTAATTTTGGTTTGTAGAATAAATTGACACTAACCCTTTCGTCATTCTTATTCTACTCAATCAATAACTCTTTAATATTGATAAACTATCGATGGTTTAGCCCTAAGCGGGATAAATCCAAAACGCGCGAATTAATAGGTTCCCATTACTACGAATGAAAGTCATTTATCTGCAAATCCATTTTATTTATTGTATGCAAAATAATCGATAGGCGCACAGATAAGCTTCTAAGAAAATAACTGACGCTCCGAAATCCAGAAATGAGTAATATCTATGGCGACTCGAAACGATCAGTTCAATTTGATAGAAATTGTTAGACACTGATCACAAAAGCTCATCTAAATATTTCGAGGTTAGGAAACTTTCAGAACAATCACATATTTCGCATCGTGTTTTCCAAAAGCGACTTTGTTATATATATATATATATATATATATATATATATATATATATATATATATATATATATATATATATATATATATATATATATATATATATATATATATATATATATATATATATATATATATATATATATATATTTTTTTTTTTTTTCACGTATTGATTCACGGATGGAAAAATGTGATGACACTATATTCCGGGATATCATCCGTTCGCTCGTTGAACTCCGACTGGAAGACGTTTCGCCAAAATCTCACTTGGCATCTTCAATGCTCTCGCTCCGAAAACACTTCGAACACTGGGAGGTTATCGGCGGTGCGTGCGGTATTTATACTCTGCGCCGGAGATGGTAACGGTGCTGCTTGTGCGTGTTCAGTGAACAGTGTTCAAAGTGTTTCGGAGCGCGAGCATTGAAGATGCCAAGTGAGATTTTGGCGAAACGTCTGCAGGATTCCAGTCGGAATTTAACGAGCGAACGGATGATATCCCGGAATATAGTGTCATCATGTTTTGACAAATTTTTCTAAAATTATGAATCTATTTAAATAGGCACTCTAATATACTAACAATATATCAAGGAAATTATATATATATATATATATATATATATATATATATATATATATATATATATATATATATATATATATATATATATATATATATAATTTCCTTGATATATTGTTAGTATATTAGAGTGCCTATTTAAATAGATTCATAATTTTAGAAATATTTGTCAAAACAATAATTAGGTTATCGAAAAATATATAATGTATGTAACATGTTTTCATATAATACCGCAAGTACCGTTTTCCCTATGAATGAAAACAGCAAATATCGACTGTCTAGCTTCCCTTAAACAAAGTCAATAAATTTTAACACCGAAACACGTCATTAGCTATAAACGCCAAAAGTATTTATTGCTTTATCTGCGTCTTGCCAACATCTTATCCAGATAATCCATATTTTTATAGCATGATTTTTGAGCATGATATACAAGCACATTGTGTAGGATTACACACGTCAGAGGTAATCGCAACAACATTTGTTTGTTTTATAGATTGTTAATAATTTGAAATATTCAGGCTTGCATTTTGCCGTCTGATATCTCCGATACGTTTTTATAAAATTTTTAATACTGGCAGATGTGAAATAGGATCTAGCGCCATCAATGAGAATTCTATTTACTGGGTGTAAGTTAAAGAATTACCAATACTAAAAACCTTTTTTTTTCGTCTATTCGGACATTAAAAAATTACAGGGTTTTAAATTTGAAAAGTTAAATTAGGTATTTGTTGGCCTTTTAGAGACTCTCCAATAATAATTGTAACATAATAATTTTTTTTGAGAGGCAAAAAATAGGATACTTTAAGCTCGGATAGGACAGAGAATGTTAATCTTGCAATTCTCTGTTATATCAATTTTTAAATGGGATGACTTTAAACCCAACATTTATGGAATTCCGATGCCTCTTCAAATTTTATTTGAACGTTGTAACTCATTTTCGCAAGTCAAGTTTAGAAAGTTTTCACTGCATCGATTCAGGAAATGGTCACCGTTGAAGTTTCCCTAAACTAGATTAAGGTTGTAGTTTAATGGTTAATTAAGGTTTTGAATTTAGTGAAAACGATTACTTTCATAAATGTTGCTAATATCAAGCCTTTCGCGTCTATGCAGCTGAGGAAAAGTTTATTGCAAAGCATTTCCCAGTTTTCGGGAAAATAAATAACCTCTACCACATTTACATTTCTTGTAATAGATACGATGTCCAGGTAAATTATTTTCAATTAGTAAAATTTTGGTACGAGAAAGTATGAAGTTATTTTTGACAACGGTTAATTTTATTGTAAATAAGTTGTTGTGGGTTAAGGCCTAAAATTTACTTTGAATAATGTGTGAATTTTGAACCTGCTTCGTCTACTGGCCTCGTTCAAAAGGCTGAACATAATGGAGACATAGTCAGCATATATAATATCGGACAAAAGTCAAGCAAATTTTATGATAAAGTAAATTTAAATATAACATTTTGCAGATTCATTATGCTTAATAGTTTCGATTTTTGTAGAAATAAATATGCCAAAAGGAAAACCAATCTCCACGGCGATGCAGCGAATGGTAGTAAAGGCCTTTTTTGAAGGAAAGTCAAAGATTGCTATTTCCAAGTATTTTAACTTGCCAAAATTCAACATCAGGAAAACTACTTTTTGGATTGATAGAGAAACAAAAGAATTTCCCAAAAGATTAGTTGTTGCTAGGACCAAGGATAATACAGGTCTACAAAAATAAACTTTTTGGACAGATGTTTTTATTTTGAAAACTGATTTTGTATATTATTGACAGGCTAATTTCAAATATTCTATACATTTACTAGTATCACGTAAGGGTTCGTTCGGATGCAAATCACTAATGAAATCATTTAATTCGCTCTGATTAATCACTTCGGGCTCTCTGAAATCTGGTGTGAAATTTGAGTTATCTGGGTCGGAATTAAGGTCCTCTGATTCTAACTATAGGACTGTTCTATATTTCTTTTGGAGCGGTGAATATCGATACATCTGGTCCATGAGCAACTGGTTGAATAGCAGAGTCAAGATTGAGATACACAATTTGTTTCTTATTTTTTCTGTTGAATCCTTGAACGCGAACAAAAATAACAATCGTCACTGTGATTCTTAGACTCTCGCCATACCATAGGAACACCAAAGTTTAAACATTTCTTCCTACCATTTGGTCAGTTTCAACGCAAAAGTAACAAAGAGTATGAGGAGCCTAGGACTTGTCTTGGTCGCCAATTTTTACACCAAAATAAACGTGGTATACATTTTTCACAAAAGAAATTATAGTTTGCACTTGCTTGACTACGACATAACTACCACAGATATAACAAAAGTTATTTGGATTGTTAACACCATGTTTTGTTTCCATATTTACACGTTCTAGAACAGTAGAAATACGCCACAACCAAGACAACAGCCGCGAACACAGTAGGACGTGGACCAAAACAACCAAACTGCGTAGGTTACAACGCTGTATTGACGCTTCTGCGCCAACTGTCCAGTGTTGCCAAATTACATTTAATTTCATAAAAATCAATTAATTTAAAAATCATTCCTGCTTTCTGAGAGAAATCGCTTTGCCGGGTTATACATGTACATGTATAAGTTTAATTCTGACGGAATGAGGCCAGTACGAACATTCATCCCGTCTTGTTTAGGAGTGGTTACAAAAAATGATGTACATGTTCTTCAATGGCTTGCACAATCACCGTACCTGAGTCCATTGAGAACCTTTGACAACAGGAGGGAAGCCAAATTGGGGTTACATGAGTATCAAATAAACAGTCCTTAATTGATTAAATCAACGAAGCTTGGAAGAAAATGCTGATTATTACTATCCAAAACTTATGTTACTGTGTTTATATTGTTAAAACCCTTCAACCCTATTTCTTGTAATTTAAGTATTTAAATGAAACAAGATATTGTTCTTTCAGAAGTTACGTTACTTTTGTTTTTCCAATCAAGTTGTCTTGAAATAAGTGATTACATAATATACTAAGTTATTTGACATTTGAAGACACTTTCATTATTCTTGTAATAGTAGCCCACTAAGACTCTTTAAACTGCATGATTCCCACAGTCATTCGCCCAATTTTAAATTTGATAAATAATTTATGTCATGGTAAAAATTCCATAGTGTATAAAAATGTGTATTTTTGATTTATAAAAAAAACGAACCATTCTATAGCATTATTCGCATTCACATTTTCGCAACATTTTGGAATTTATATTAATCGATCCTTTCTTTGAACAAATTAAACACAGGCCTTTAAACTCATTTACAAAATTAGCCGAATCATTTTCCGTTTGCTGCCTATTACCCATTAAACTGCAACCTTAAACCGTAATATCAGGTAACGATTTGAAACAGAAGAACTTCTCTAGCATTTTGCTTAAATCGATACAGGGAAAACTTTCTTAACTTTTACTTGAGAAAATGATTTACAACATTCTCCTGGTTTCAGTCTGTAAGCGGAAATTTAGCAATACCAAAAGTTTTAAGTAGTGATGGAGCTGTTTCATTTAAAATTCTATTTCGAAGTCAGATGTTCTCGATTGATTTTAAGCCGATGCATCGGAATTCCATCAGCATTCCCTTTGAAGCGGCCCCTTTGGAAAATTGATCCCAATGACTTTGGAGGAGTTCTCTATCATTAACAGCCCAATATAGAGATGGATACGCTCTGTTCGATCAAAGTGCTTTAAGCAATAAATTGCTGCACTATGCGTATGTATTTAAAAAGATTAACGCGAATACGTACATATATATACGAAGCATATTGACGTTTGCGTATCACGGCATAGTTAATAAAGGTTTATGAATTTTGTTTGCTGATACGAGAACAAAATGATAAATACGTATTTCGGTATTAAAAATGTTTAGACTTTATACATTGTCAATAGATAGATAGGCGAAATACTCTTAAAATAGATTGAAAATTTTGTCCTAAATTAAACAAAACGAAATGAAGTATATTCCATATGATTTTTCAGAATGCACAGGCCTACCATAGCATTTGCCAACCTGATAGAACTAAGATGTCGACATTGTGAGAACTTTCTCAGTTGTGGGCCTCTATACCTATTGGAGGATTCTAGCACTCTCTGCGGACGATGTCGAATGCTAGCCAGAGATCATTATAGGTAAGCTATAGGTTACAGAGCGAATAAGTTATGTGAAAGTATGAATGCATAAATACTCGCGCCTAAACTAATACTCGGATATATTTCTTTGCTTTGACTTAAATACACTACCCATAGAAATATTCTGCTAAACAGACAATTGGACCTGTTTAAGTGGTTCTAACCCAACACATTGGATACTATGTCTAACACTTAAATTCGTTTCATTTCATAAATATATATATATATATATATATATATATATATATATATATATATATATATATATATATATATATATATATATATATATATATATATATATATATATATATATATATATATATATATATATATATATATATATATATATATATATATATATATATATATATATATATATATATATATATATATATATATATATATATATATATATATATATATATATATATATATATATATATATATATATATATATATATATATATATATATATATATATATATATATATATATATATATATATATATATATATATATACATATATATATATATATATATATATATATATATATATATATATATATATATATACTGAGTGTTCGAAGTGTTTTTGGAGCGCGAGCATTGAAGATGCCAAGTGAGATTTTGGCGAAACGTCTGCAGGATTCCAGTCGGATGCAGGATTCCAGTCGGAGTTCAACGAGCGAACGGATGATATCCCGGAATATAGTGTCATCACATTTTTCAATCCGTGAATCAATACGTGAGAATATATATATATATATATATATATATATATATATATATATATATATATATATATATATATATATATATATATATATATATATATATATATATATATATATATATATATATATATATATATATATATATATATATATATATATATATATATATATATATATATATATGATGACACTATATTCATCCGTTCGCTTGTTGAACTCCGACTGGAATCCTGCAGACGTTTCGCCAAAATCTCACTTGGCATCTTCAGAATTAATATTCTTTTACTAATGGTCAAATTTTGAGTGTCTATTTACTTTATATTTTAATAGTCACATTTGTGAGGAACATAAAATATCTACTAATAGTGGTTGAGTTTTGATGAGCTGTTGTATGCGTATGTTCTATCCAATTGATGTGTGTTTCAGAAATGATTCCCTAGAAGCATTAAAATCAATTTTCCGTTATCCGTGTATCAACTGGCGAAATCATTGTCCCGTGACGCTGCAGTGGAACGAAAGCCTGATCCACGAAAGAGAGTGCCATTACTACGGAGGATGTGGTTTCCTCTGCTCGCATCCCGGGGCGTTTTTCAAAGGAAAACGAGACTTCCCCAAAGAGGGTACGTAAGGAATTTTTCTATTATCGACGTGTTTCCAACATATCGGTAAAAGAAATATAATTTGTAATTTTCCTATCTACCGTTATATATTATCGGCGATTAAAAACGGAGAAACGAACAACACGAACTGAAATCGTATTTCTATTCGGAAATAGGAAAACCTATGGCTGTCTCGAAACACCACAAAACAGCAGATCCTGTTTCGGTCGAACTAAGCGAGTTTTAATTGCCATCGTTACAATTCAAACAAGAGCACTGGGTCAAAAGTTTAATAATAAAATGATGGAAAACTCTAAGCGTTGAATATCAATTCCGAGTTTCTAACAAATCGCATTAAGCTGACCTTTTCACGTTACACGTGAAACAAAAAGTTTCGAATTTCGGGCAGTCTTAAAAAGATAAGTACACAAATATTATGAAAATTTGTGGTGATGTTTTACACACGATGTTAAAAGCGGTGGCTGAAAGTCGATAAATCCCTATGTGTCGTGGTATAATAGGACGGTATATCAAATCACTTTATGAGGATTTTCTTTAAGAGTGAATGATTTTCCACTCAAACAGAAGAAAATATTTGCATGGTACAGTGTCTCGGGATTATAAAATAGCAATCAAATGTTGACAACACAGATAAACTCATCACAACCACCAAGCTGTTGAGTATTAAAGAAAATTATTGGTCCTATTGAATTACTGCAAGGTTTCGATTTATTGTTCCCTTATATTCCCCACGTATAATTTAAGACAAATTTCAGCCCATTCAAAAGAGTTTACAGATATCAATTTATTGTTATTTGACAGCTTACATACGAAATCGGAGGATGATTTCAAATCGAAACTGAATTAATTGTTGTATAGTGATCCAATTCATTTAGTCGATGGTAATTTCGATGATAATTGTTAGGCTAAGAACTCGCTAACTTAGTTTGTCATGTTATATTTATACATAACGCGTAAGTTATATATATTTATATATAGGATTGATTCTTCTTTTGTATTTACTGTCAATTGTCTATATAACTGTAACCTTTAAAACAAATACTTTCGTTTACCATCAACTTTTGAATATTACAAATATGTACAAACAATTTTAAATTCTCAATTGGGAAAGTTTTATTAAAGAATAAATATGAAACAATGACTTCTTCCGAAATTGATTCGCAATTAGTAAATAACATTAAAAGAACGATACGAATAATTATCCCTTTACAGCGTTGCGCAAAGGTTTGACGGAGATTAATGATTGATTAAACAAGGTAAATGAGGCGTTATAGTATTTTTTAAATGCCGGCCGTGATATTTCCCGTCATGCCATTTCATTTGTGATTGTAATTTAATGTTAAACTAACTGGAACAAAGTAACCAAAACAAAATTGTTTCATATAATTCGCAGTTGCGATTTTAGTTTCACAAATATTCCTGTCACAAAATCACCATTCAAAAATTGTTTCAAATTACACACAGAGTTTAGTAACCGAACTTACTTTGAAGTGAATTTTTCCGTTGTCGACCATATTAATAGAAGTGCCGATGTAAAGAATCAAATCTATTTTTTTTTGTTTTCTTAGGATGTAGGATCTAATGGAAATATGAACAAACTTAATATAGATAAAGTCTGCTTATTTTATCTGAAGATGATCGGAGTACTATGCCAAAAAATTGGTGGTAATTTTGTACCACAGTCATGCTTGAAAGCCAACTGAAATTAAAACTTCCATGTTTAAAAGACCTTACCTTACAAAATATAAACTAATTAATACTGTTATTGTATGAGTATAGCCAATTTATTCTCGATTTTCTCGTCCTTATGTTGTATAAAGGTCCAGTTTTCTCGACATTTCTGAAGCGCTTGTCGTGGTGTTCGTTTAGTCATTGTTAATTCTTATGCTTATCTTTGCCCATGTTTCAATATCTCGGACTACAGACTATTCTCTAATCGTGTGACAGCTCTAAAAGTTACAGTTATTGGTATTTTTACTTCCGATGTTCTTTTGCGAGAGGTTTCTGTCACTTGAGAATTTGTTTCAAACGCAGTTAAATCTTATAACTTTATTGCCTGAGTTTGGTTAGTTTTGATTATTTCCGTGGAAATTATTAAGTTAAGTTTTTTAGCACATATTATACGTGGAGTAGCCGTTGGGAGTCATCACCAAGTGTCCAAAGTAACAGGCAAGGTGTTTTAGCATTTTCTGCGTGCCAAACTTGCTTAATCTCAGTGACTAAATCCACTTATTTACTGAAATAATTTTATCGAATAGCAAAAATATTGAAAATTAGTCCATAAAAATCCTTGTTTCAGATTTAAGATTAACGACGGTCCCCGAGCACATATTCGGTTACATCAAATGCGTGGTCTGCGAAGGTTTTCTTAGCTGCGAGCCCGTCTATACTCAAATCAACGGCAAAAATATTTGTCATCGATGTATAAACAGCAACGGCGTGCCTCCCAATTGCAGACGCAACCTTCCTTATGAAACATTTTCCAAAACCTTGGTATTCCCTTGCAGTTTCCGAAGCAAAGGGTGTCCCGAGAGGGGCGAATTCGGCAGGGGGCTTTGGCAACACGAAGCCGAATGTCCCTACGGGGCGATAATTTACCAACAGTCCGATCAAAAACGGGAGAGTCAAGCTAAAAAGGAAAAGGGGGTTATCAAGACCCATACCGGACACATTTGGGCCACCATCACTCCGAATTCGCAGCTTTTTGCACCACCAGAAGACCCTAACAACGATATCAACAAACAACTACTGAAGTCGTTGGCGAAAAAGCAACAGGAAAGACATATCAAAAGAGCGGACCAAATCGGCGACGAATTGCGCAACAGAAGGATGTCTGGAGACAGCGCGGTGTCTACTGCTGGATCTCTAAGTACCAAAAATTCAGCGTCCCATGGTAGCGAGATCAGCATCGGAGAAATATTCGATAAAGTTCTGCCGTCTTATACTCCGCCTGAGGAATACAATAATATATCTTTGCACTCGTCTAGAAGCAGCTCCGTCAGGCGGAACGAAAGAAGATTTGTGGAGAGTGGTGGAGTTCAACACGATTTAAGTTTTCCTGCTTATTTAATCCCTCGGTCAAACTTAGAACGGACGGACTCTATGAACAGCAGTTTTAGGGGTAACAGAGAGCTGATCAGCGAGCTCAAAGTAAGGCAAAACATCATAAAGAAAACTCACTCTATCAAAGGGCGAATAGACTTGGATCAAAATAATCCTTATAGACAATGCAATAATTTAGACGATATGGTTACCGTCCACAATCAAATTAAGTGATAAAAATGAACTGATAAATAAGTGACGTTATCGGTACTCGAGGATGTAAATAGCGGGCGGGTATTTTTATTTTCGTCTATTTTGTATAATCGTTGTAATGTAATGGTATCAGCAGAAAAGGGTCCCCCACAACTTAATCTACTAGATTATATACTAGATAGGATTAAAAACAATGCGGTTGAGATTAATGTAATTCGATATATGTGTATTTTTACCTAAACAAAGACATTCGAAACGCTATTCGTTTTATTCTTTCTCAGGCGGCAAAAGTAAAAATAAGTACCCCAACAAGTACGAGCTGAACTGAATGGATAGATGATGATGATGGAGTATGACATTGTTTGATCTTTGAGTTAATGAACTGCCGTACACTCGCCCTAATTTAGTCTTTCTTTATCTGATTTTTCGTTTTCACGATATGAAGGCGAAAGCGCCAAATAAATATGCTTCAAAATTATATTTAACCAATTATATACACAATCATCTCGTGGTGGATGCAGCTATTTATTTACATTAAATTATATATTCATGTTTTTATATTAACAGTTGACGCCTAATTTTTTGCTTTTCTAAATACTAATACTAAAGATACAGATAAGATCATCCCATTTTTTTCTGATTTGCGAAATGTGATTTACTTTAATAATAAAAGCCCGATTTATAGGATATGGTCAAGGTACGGCCTTGGCCACCTCGATATGAGTATCTCAATGCACTAGGCTAAGATACTCACAATATATATGTATATATATATATATATAGTTCGGTATAAAATTTTACGGGGAATCCATAAAAGCAATAGTATATACGGTGTTCCATTGAAAATAAGAAAGTTGACACTGACTTTTTATATATTGTCTTGAAATCATTTTAGTCGGATCACCCCCACCAAAGTTAGTTTAATTCCAAATTTTTAAAATTTTCTACGTATAGCTTTCCCATAACGACGAAGTTCTTGGTGGAACACCCTGTATACGCGGTTAAAATAGGAATTTTCGCATCGATCATGTCTCTCATTGATTGTACGTATTTACTATAGTAATACAGATTTCTATTTTTTGTTTGTGTTATATTGTTATTTATAGACTTTTGGTGTTACTTTTTTTTATCGCAATTAATCAATTAATACTTGGTACAGTAGCAAACATAGGAAACTATATTCCCCCTTTTTATCATGCTATGCTACAAGAGACTGTGACCAACTAACCTGCGATAGTCGCCACACATTCGACGGTAAAGACAAGAGAAAAGGAACTATGAATACATAAATCTCACATAGGAACATTTATGAGACAAAAGGCCTTACAGTATGCATTAACTTGTTATCAGCGTGATAGGTCAATAAATTAAGATTGAAAATATTTAAGAGAAGTGGGATTTTACTAAAAACAAATTTTGACGAAATGGTCTGAAACTTATAACCTGTTGGAATTAGCGACACAAAGTAACTAATAAACTGTTATTCCTTTCATAATTGCTATATTATCAAATTATTATTAACATTTGTTTCGCTATTTTTTAGTTAGTAGGTATAACGACATCATCACATTATATACAATGTGTCCCACTTAAGAATTGTATTCCCTTGTAAAATCTTTGCTTATGGTTCGATTTTGATAATTTTTTTTTGTTGAATAGGTCTCTCAAAAACGCACTAAAACTTTACGTTTCTTATTACATCAACCTGAAGTGATGGCTAACTAGGACTAATTTTTGATTTAATTCTCTTTAAGAATAAAGTGTGAACGAATTTTAATTCCAAACAACATAAAAGCAAGCTATACTATTTTTAATTTTAATTTTGATAATTCTTTTTTAGTGGATAGATCTCACTAAAGAGAAATGAAACGGTGTTTTCATATAGCATCGACTAAAGTCGTGGCTAACTGACACAATTTTTTAAACGGAAAATCCTGAAGTACTTTTAGAATTGAAACTGACAACAGATTCGTGTTCAGGACCACCTAAAAGTAACTAGACCAATGACCAAAGTTTTTAATGTTTTAAAAAAATAAATATTGTAAACCTTGTAAATAACGATTATTTTGTACATGGTTTTAAGTTCTTACAAATTTTAATAATACAAATTTGAAAGACAATGATAAAAAGAACTTTTTATGGGACATTTATTTTATAGTATTATCTTAAAACTACATCATTAATAAATCTTAGTATTTGTAGTAGTAGTAGATGTAAACAAAATTAGAATATAAATTCGGAAGTGAATTTGACTGTTGAATATTCGCTTCTCCATGACAAACTTGGTTTTATAAAAGAAATAGGATGCCGACGTCAATTAATTTTGATATTTCTGTTATTTTCATTATTAAATGAGAATTAAATATCATTCTTAATTAAAAAAAATATAGCGTTGTAAAGTCTGTTTAGTTCATATCTAATCCTCTCTAACCATATTTAATTTTAAGAAAATCGTTAGTGTTTTTCAGTGAAATCTATCCAACAAAGAATTACCAAAATTGAGCCATAAACAAACATTCTACAGGAGTAATGTTTAAGAGAACTTCATGGAAATTTGTATAGTTAGGTTTTTAGCACTTCTCGATATTTGACATAAAAAATTAGCCCCAGACTTCCAGGTGTTAGTGCGATTTTGAGAGATCTATCCAATAAAAAAATATATCAAAATCAAACGGTAATCAAAGATCTTACAAGGGTGTACAGTTTTTAAGTGGAATACACTGTATATACGAACTGACTTTTTCGACAACGGCCACACAGACTAAACTAAATTTGAATTGAAAAACTGTAAGTAATAACCAAAAATAAGGAATTAAACAATGATTGGGCCTAAACAATAGTTTAAAAAAACTACTTGTTTTCCGAAATTTCCCAGAAAAACTAACACCGTTTCCTCTGCCATAATTTTAACAACCCATTTCTTTTAAGGGCAAAAGCTTATCCAATGTTATGACGAATATTATTTCACAGACGGAACGAACAAAATCTCTGCCTATGTATAGTCGAATTCTGTTGTTGATTTGAGCGTTTCTGTCGAAATATGAATATTGTTACTAAAATGTTAACCACATTATTCCCTCGGATCGCATATATTATGCAGCTTTGTATTCCAAGTCTAATTCTATTATGTTTAACCGGATCCCACTTGTCTGCGACAATCTGCATTACAATATCTTGCCTCGGCTAAAATTCTGGAGGTGGTACGTGTTTATCGAGCCTTGGTTGAATATTTACCAATCCGTGTGGGAGGAGGAGGTATACAAACAGTTAAAACAAGGAAAACATTTTAATTATTTCATCAAACCGCACACTTTTAGGGAGGGTGGAGTTTTTGTTTACGTGGCGATGTGATGGGTTTTAATGTCTGTCCCACCCACGTGTAATTTAAACGGCGGTTAACTGTTTAATGTTTTTCGGTATGCGTGTTATTTACTACCAAGAGTACGATATCTTTACATCGTCGTAAACTGGAATCGTCGCGTTTTTAACGCCGTTCCAAGTAAACGACTTCCGTTTTGGCAAAAAATATTTAAAGACTCATTGCTTGCCGCAATAAATATCCATTTAGTATTGGTAAAAAAGTTCGCCAAATAATTTGGATTTATACTATGACTACTACTTTACCAAGGTCTTATACTAATCCAGAGCCATATTCAGACTTCGAGGACAGTCCGAAGCCCAGAAGTTTCAAGATGACCTTAATCGCTTTTACTACCAAACTGCAAAATTATAGGGGAATTGATTATACACCTAATGAAATAAAAATGAAAAAAAAATTACCGGATTTGTACCACCTATGGATATGAATGATTGAAATTCATTTAACCCCCATAACCATTTATCTTAAATGCTAGTGACAAATGGTAAATAATCAAGTTGATTATCACAGAATAGTGAAACAAATATGTAAAAGCCACCATCGATCTGTACGGGGCTGATAATTGAAAAATTATCTTTTTTTATTTTTCCAAAGAAACTTTCACAGTCTACTTTAATACTTTTTACATAACTTCCGGATTCCTCCTGCGTCAGTTTTTGTTGAGTCGGACTTATTAACCAGGATAACCCCTTTGACCTATTGTCAGCACTATTGGTTCTCGAACATATTCTCTTATTAAAACCCTTTACAGGGTAAACTGATAATTTCGTATTTAAACAAAATAAATAGGAACTAAAAGTTCAGATTTTTACGAAATTATATATTTTTACATGACAATTGTTTCGACAACACCGTGTCTTTATCAAAAATCATATGATAAAGGCACGGTGTTGTCGAAACAATTGTCATGTAAAAATATATAATTTCGTGGGAATCTGAACTTTTGGTTTTTATTTATTTTGATAAATAGATTTCCATTAAGTATTTAACTCATTTCACTTCATTGAACAATTAAAAAGCATTACATTAGATACACAAGATATTCTGGTTAGTTTCGACGTAGAATCCCTCTTTACCAAAGTTCCTATTCCTGAAACTCTCAACATCATTTCAGATATATTAAAATCGTAGAATCTGGAACCAAACCTTAATTGAAAAATATTTGTCTGGGTCATATATTTCTTATAACAATCAAATTTTTGAACAAACGTCGGGAACAGCTATGGGTTCTCCACTATCACCAGTCATCGCGAATATATTTTGAGACACCTCCATATAAAACCAAAATTATGGAAACGCCTCGTCGATGATTCTTTTGTTATTTGGCCTCATGGTCATGAATGGCTAGTATAGCACCCCAATACGTTTTAAAATTGAAATAGAAACTGGCATCTCAAATGGAATTTTGTCTTTGACAGATCGAAGATTTTGATAGATTTTTTGAGCAAGCGGTAAATCTGGTTTTGACGTTATATTTGTTTAGAATTTTTGATATGTGCTCAGTGATGTTTTGAATGTAAGTGAAGAATCCCTAGTAGATTTTCTTAGATATTTAACCCGTAACATACGTTTTACCATTGAGTTAGAAACTAATAATAACCTCCCATTCTTAGATATTCTTATCAATAAAAAATCATACCTAACATTGGGTCATTGCCTTACCTTGATACCTTGATGCGTGGTCACATCACGATCCGGCCCAAAAATCATCGGTTATCAACTCTCCTGTTTACAAAGTCGCCCGAGGCACTGACCCCAGAACTAAAACACCTTATCTCCGCTCTTAAGGCCGAAAGCAATCCCATACTTGTCACTCTTGTCTTTCCTTACATTTAAAACATCACTGACCACATATCAAAAGTTCTAAAGAAATGTA